ATAAGCGATACATGATCTTGTTCTGGACACATCAGGCTGGACTCTGATGCCAGACCTTTTCTAGATAGAAACCAGACTCCTTCTGGACCATGACATCATTCTGACATCATAGGTAGGAGCTAGGCTCAGGCACTAGGCCATAGGCCAGTCAATTCTGGACCCTAGGCCCAGGGCAGGGCAGGGCCAGACTATGACATCATATATGACATCATAGAGCACATGATACTTAGTAATCCTTACCCAGCTAGGTACCAGGGGTCCATTACCGGTCCCTGGGGGGTTTTCCCTCATGTATATAAGGCAGCATCCTGGGGCACCCTGTCCCCCAGTTCTATTCACTTTGTTGTTGCGCTTAACAGCATTACCTCCCCATACTTAAGTGCTATTATCTCCCCCCCTCAATATCAAGCTATAAGGTGGGTTTGTAGGTTTTGTGATAGCCACGACTCCATTCACTGACAAAGCAGCCTTTCTCATGGCATTCAAGGCTCGCTTTGGAAATCTCGACAACACCGCCGCGGCACAGGTGGAGCTCACCAAGCTCTGCGCTGACAAAACCATGCATGAGAAGTGCACCGCCGCCAAATTCCCTGCGCTGTTCAAGGGTCCAGCGGACCGTTCCGGATATGGGGACCTGGAACTATGCGACAAGTACCTGAGTGGCATCCCCTCCCGCGTCTACCAGAAGATCGAGCTCGAGACCTTCACCACGTGACAAGAAGCTGAGAAGCGCACCACCAAGGTTGAGCAGATCCTCGACATCAGCCAGGCCTGTCGGCCTGAGTTGAACGGTTTCTTCTCGGCACGAGGTCGAGGACACGGCGGGGCATGTGGTGGTGCACCCTCATCACACAGAGCATCGGCCAGCATCAATGCGGCCGTTGGAAAAGGAAACTTCCCCGGCAGTTGCTTTGGCTGCGGGAAGCAAGGGTACCGATGCTTCGAGTGCCCCAACTGTAAGGACAAGCCTTACACAAAATGCGCCGACGCACGGGCTACGGTTGCCTCGGGGTCCACCCAGGCAGCAACAAGTGCCCCCGTCGCTTCATCCTTGGCGAGTACAAGCACCACTTCAGCGAAATCGGAAAGTTCCGAGCTGGCGGACTTGATAGCACAGATGAAGTCGATGCGCGAGGAGCTCGAGCACTATCGGGCCATGAAGGAGGAGTCTTTTTGATCCGGTCCATGCTTCGTGCCGCACGCGTCGGGCCGCGTAATAATAATCTGTACAATGTATTGGCGACTGCGAATGTGTACGAGTTGGACCACGGGTCCCAGCATTTCCACATCCTGGTGCGCCTCCAGGGAAAAAGACGGCACAAGGACATAATCACTATGGTGGACAGTGGAGCCACCACAAAGTTTATCAACAAGCAATTCATTATAGAGAATAAGGTGCAGACGCGAAAATTGAAAGAGCCAATTCCGCTATATAATATTGACGGCACCCTGAACAAAGACAGAAGCATCTCGGAAGTAGCAGTGCTACAGATGCAGATAGGAGAACACGTCGAGAAGACGGTGTTTACAGTCACGGACATTGGTCCAGAGGATGTGATTGTTGGGTTGGATTGGCTACACGAGCACAACCCCGAGATCGATTGGGAAAAAGGCTCCCTCAAATTGTCGCAATGCCCTGAAACATGCAGTGCCAGGAGAACTGGCCGGATGGAATGGAGCAAGCAGCGACTGCATGTGATACGGGGGTCAGGCCCATGGCGCGCAGGCATTTGCTGAAACCCAAATGGTTGGTCATAGGCACCCGCCGGAGCAAGGTGCTCCCAGACTTCGAACCCGAAGAAGATCCGGTAGAGGTCAAATGGGATGAAGCGGACTTGATCAAGGCCTGGGAGCAAAGCATTATGCTTCCTGGTGCCCCTCAGCTGTTCGTCAAAGCCGGGCATATGTACTCCCAGTTGTTTGCTGAGGAGGAGATCAAGAAGAAGGTTGTTAAGACCGCCGAGGAGTCGGTACCTAAGCAGTACCACAAGTTTCTGAAGGTCTTCTCAAAGGAAGCATCAGAGCAGCTGCCTGAAAGAAAGCCATATGATCATGCGATCGAACTCGTGCCTGGCTACTCGACATTCCATTTGAAGGTATACCCGCTATCGAACAATGAGCAGGAGGAACTAGACAAGTTCCTAAAGGAGCAGCTAGCGAAGGGTTACATACAGGAATCAAAGTCGCCTATCTCGTCCCCCTTCTTCTTCATCAAAAAGAAGGAAGGAACACTTCGACCCGTACAAGACTATCGCCGGTTGAATGTGATCACAGTGAAAAATCGCTACCCCTTGCCGCTGTCACGAGTTGGTACAGCGTCTAGCCGTTTTTTCATTTTTTCCTTTTTGCGGGCTCGAACCCGCGACCTCTGTACTACTTGCCTGATATGGACGCATCGCTATCTACTGTACAATTAGATTAGATGGGGCGGCAGTGCACGGCACAGCCCGGGCTCCGCTGACACAGCCCCTCTGACTCACCGGCCCCCGGGGCCGCGTCAGCATGCTGCGCACGGACCAGCTGCGCACGGACCAGCGTGCACAGCCTCCCCTAAACATCCCCTGTATATAAGCCGGCCTCTGCTGCCCTAGGGACCTCAGTTTCGACCTCTTGTCCCTAGGTCAGTAAGCTCTCTTGTACTTACTTACCTTTCCTTACTAACTAATACATTTCTTGTCCCTAGCCTTAGGTTTGAGCCTAGCTCACCATCGCTTTGGTAAGATCCAGTCGAATGCCCCCAGCATCCTTCAAAGTCTGTGTTTCCCCTATCGCTCGACCCTAAGTCGCGACATTAGGTCGAAACTCCTCACTGCTGCCGGCGTTCTTTCGGAACTCACACACTCACTTCCTCTCCTATAGGTCGGGTGGTGTGCACCCTCACTATACTTTACAATACGTAGATAGCCTACTATACATCGCCAACACTAGAGAAACGAACTCTTCAGTACCTGCGCTTCAGTGAGCGGTACTTGTCCTCACGGACGCGTAGCCTTGGTTCCTGCTGCATAATAGTCAAAAGCAGTATTGGGCCCTAAGTGAACTGCGAATCTCAGTGTCATCT